TCCCTTCCCTCTCTTCTGTCTTGTTATTTCCTCTAACTTCCATTTCTTTCCATGTCATATCATCTATCTTAATTCCTCTCTCCCTCATCTTCTTCTTCTTAATAATTAATTCCCTTTTCTGATCCAGGTTACGCATCCTCATAAAAACTATTCCCCCCTCTCGTTCTTTTCCTCCTCCTATTCCTTTTAAATCCACCTCTACTCCTAGTTCCTTTATTATCCCTTCTACTTCCTCTTCTATCTCCTCTTTTCTCTCTTTAATTCCTCTTATCACAACGTTTCTCCTTCTCTCCTTCCTTTCCTTCATCTCTAATTTTCTCTCCACTTCTCTCATTCTTTCCTCCACCTCTCCTCTCCCTTCTCTTTCTCCAGTTTTCCTCTCTTCCTTTATCTTCATTTCCTCTAGCCTTCTCTCCATCTCTTTTAATCTCCCGCTCATTTCCTCTTTCTCCTTTTCTTCCTTCTCCCTCAATCGCCTTTTCATATTCTCTAGCTCTTTCTTTATCTCTGTCCCCTGTCCTCTCATTTCTTCCGTCAATTCTTCATTTACCTCTCTTAAAACTATCTTCAATTCTCTTTTCCATTCTTCCTTTATATTCTGCCACATGTACTTTTCCTCATCTCCCTTCTCTAGCCCCATCTTCACTTCCTTCTGTGGCGATCTTTGTACCTTTTTCCCCTCTCTACTTACCCATTCCTCTTGCTTTTTCAACTCCTCCTCCGCCTCTATTTCCTCCCTCTTCCTTTTCCATAAATTCTCTATATTTCCTACACTCTCACTTCTTTCTACACCCCTACCCTCGACAATTTTCTCATTTCATCTGCCATTTCCTATCTTGACTTTCTATTATGTGCTCTGTACCTTCTTCACTCCTATCTACTAGATGTTACATACTCTATGCTCCTACCTAAGGTTGCGTTCGGAAACATCACCCGTATGCATACGAGCGTTGTTCTATCTTTGTTATTTAAAAGTTGAACAATTGAACAAAGATAGAACGATACTCGTGTGCACACGGGTGATGTTTCCGAACGCAGCCTTACCTACACGATGACTCTACTCTATGTTCCTACCTAACCTTTTCTATACTGGTTCCGAGTGACAACGTGTCGGGTTCGGACGTGTTTTTGCGTGCTGCGTATGTCCTTTGTCTGGACCTTTTTTTGGACTCCCTCCTCTCTTAAGAGGAGTTTTGCTTGTATTTTACAAACCCATAAGAAACAATGGTGTATGGGCGACTAATGCCCAACCAGCCATAAAAGAAAGAAGAAGAAGAAACCTTTTCTATACTCTTCTTTTACTCCTCACTTTCTCCCTTCCCAGATCTCCCCAACCTCCACTCTCACAACTCTTCATACTCTACCACACTCTCTTTTCACTGCCGCTTTCTCTCCTTTCTCACTTCTTCCTCTCTTTTCTCACCACTATTTTTCGTCCATACGCACTCTTACACAACCGGAAACGGAAGCCCGATATAATGTAAGTATTTTACATATTTTACGAGTTTAATCAACTTGAAATATCGCGGGCGGCGTCTACCTTTTTACTTTTTGCTCTGCGTTATGGCCAACTTCTGACTCGTGCATTAGAGATTGATATATGTTATATTGTCATTTGATTGATCATAATACTCAGTCCGAAGTTGGCCATATCGCAGGGCCGAAAATGAAAAGGTAGACGTCGCCCGCGATATTTCAAGTTGATAAAACTCATAATATAGAAAATATTTACATTATATCATACATCGTTGTATTCCTTTCAAACAGCGCTACAACTTTTTTCATGTCAAAAAATTCATATTATTATAAAAAACTAATATACCTCTCTGTTCTTTAACACAGATAGCTTTTGGAAGCAACCATTATGCTCACAATAGAGTTCAGTTTGAACCATTTAATTTGATGTATATTTGTTACGGTCTATCTCTTTTAATTTAAAAGATAAAAAGTGATGGCCACTTTTGGTGGGACACCTTGTATACAGGGTGTAACAGAGCGTCCGTATCAATAATTTTCTTAAAAACAATTATTTTTTATACTAATTGATTTGTTTCATTATTTTGTACATAGAAGTATTACGGTAAGATTATCGAAAACTAAATATTTTACGAGATATTTTATTTTTTATATCAAAATATGTCAGATTAAAATATAAAATAACTCAAAAAGTACGCTTTCACGAAAATGCGTTGTTTCCTCAAAAAACTGCTGATACGGGCGCTCTGTTACACCCTGTATATGTATATACATATATTAAACTTTAAATAAAATAAGAGAATACTGTGAAGAGATCAGAGTTGGCTTCTTTCGCGTAAATATTAAAATGTAAAATGTAACTACACTCGCCAATGACGGGAGAATATTATGTCGATCATCCAGCCGGCAATGCTGAAGTAACGTCCACCGAGACCGAGGCGGAAACTATTCTTGAGCGAGCGGTCACGTGGCTGTGGAGTCAACGGGACAAAGATGCCGGTTGGGGTAACGATACGCATCGAGTACTCCTAGTCCTTCGTCTGGCGAATCTCTCCCACGACGACAATGTCACGCCGTCGGCGCCACCACTGGAGCTGCAACTCACCGCCAAGCAGATGGAACTGGAAATCGTGCTTTTGCTCTGGAGGTAGATCTGCGAGATATAATCAAATAGGATTTTTTTAGAAAAATGTTTTTCTTTTATTTTCTTCTCTCTCTCTCTCTCTCCCTCTTCCTCTCTCCCCACCCCTTCTCTCTCTCTCTCGAAGAAACATCTTGCATCTTATAATCTTAAAATTATTGTATTTTATTTTATCATATTTTTTTGTTGCTATCTGGAAATAAATACAAATTAACGCTGCCGATTTTTTCTTATATTTTTTAGAAGGTAAATATATGTATATGTGTATATATACAGAATGGAGTAATAACTTTGTCCACTTAGAATATGTTCGCTATTTTAAGAGATATGAAAATATTATGTTGGCTATTAGGATTGAAAGAGCGAGGGGCCAGTGAATAAGGTGTTACGATGCGATACTCTTTACTTTATTACAGTGCGACCGACTTGTTCGACGAGACGACGATGACTAGACGAATGTGTGTGCAGAAGAGCGCGACCACATATTTAATGTACATAGAGCGTCGCACGCAGTTACAATACTTGGTGCGACGAGAGTTCGCGAACGTACCCAAAACAAATATGACATAGACGCTTCTTCTTCTTCTTCTTCTTTCTTTTATGGCTGGTTGGGCATTAGTCGCCCATACACCATTGTTTCTTATGGGTTTGTAGAATATAAGCAAAACTCCCTCTGAGAGGAGGGAGTCCAAAAAAAGGTCCAGACAAAGGACATACGCAGCACGCAAAAACACGTCCGAACCCGACACGTTGTCAGTCGTAACTATGACATAGACGCGATAATACAATCATATAATATGAAAGGAAAGAAAGCGCGAAAGCTTGAAAACATCTTTTCTTAGCTACTCCAACATATTATAATTATGAAAGTTGTACGGTATTACGAGGGCCATAATATGCTAGTAATAACTTTTCTGTAAGTGGAGGCGCTTCGAATATTTCGAGGTAACCTTTATTTTTTTAAACGAGAACACTTTAATTTTTTTATATAAATAATTTTTCGGAATATTTGCCGTAAATAGTTATAATGATAGGATGGCCAAAATTGAATAGTTAAGATATTTTACGCTTTAATTTAACACATAACTAAAAAAACATGTTTTTTTACACCAATTGATTCCTTTCATTAATTTATACCTCAAAGTATTGAGGTAAGATAATCGAAAAATAAATATTTTATGAGAGAGAGATACTTTATAATTTATATAAAATTATGTCAAATTACTCACACAAACACACACGCGCGCGCGCGCGCGCACACGCACACGCACACAGAGTGTCCGACAAGTAAGTAACCAAACGAAAGATGGAGATAGATTAGGTCAAACTGAAAAGAAAAGTCCTGTACCATTTTGCAATTTTTGTAATAATTATTGAGAAATTAATTAAAAAAGATCGACCATATATATACGATAAGTCCAGAGGTGATGGCCATACGGGAAAGATGACCAATGAAAAAATTTTAGGTAATTATTTAATGGATGACAACTGACTCACTTCTCGAGTTACTCACGATCAAGAAGAACACGTAATCGCAATTTTTGGAAAAAAAGAAATGAAAAAGTAAGTTATTTTCTTGTTTTTACTTTAAAATTTTTTTATTAGCCATCTCTTCCGTGTGGTCATCACTCCCGGACTTACCTTATTTATTTTTATTTTTCAAGCACATTAAAAATTAATCTCTTCTACAGGGTGTCCCAAAGCACCCTTGACAATGCTCGTGAGCAGGTAGAATACAGTAAACTGAACAAAAAAGTCCTGTAACATTTTTTTATATAACGCTTAATAAAGGAGTTATTATTGAGTAAAGTCTGGCCAATCAGCGCCGATCTTTAGCCACGCACCTAGTGTGCGTGAGCGCTCCGTCGCTATGGCGGCGCACACTACCAGGCGGGCGGCTCACCGACGTGACGGAGCGCTCACGTACACTACCAGGCGCGCGGCTAAAGGTCGGCGCTGATTGGCCAGATTTTACTCAATAATAATTCCTTTATTAAGTGTTATAGAAAAAAATGGTACAGGACTTTTCTGTTCAGTTTACTATGCTCTATCTGCTCACGAGCGTTGTCAAGGGTGCTTTGGGACACCCTGTATAATAAGTATTATTTTTGTACAGAGCTTTGTAATTTAATAATAATAAGTAAATATTTAGAAAGATCAACTTCAGATTAAAAAATTTATTAACGATTTTTTTATTAAGGAAGCGATATTACAATTTTGATAATTTACAACAAATAACTTTTAGAACAAATACCTTTTACAATAAATACTAATGATACCAAATGACAATTATAGGCAAAATGAATTGAATTGCGGTTAATCGTGCGTAATAATTAAACACTTTTTTAGAAAATTTTTATCAAGCGACGCGGTAGCGTCGCGATGCCAAGTATATAAAAAAGTTCCTTCCGGGTTGTCAACCGTTTTGCCTACCCTGCCGAAAATGGTCGATTAAAACAGATTAAAACATAATCCG